TATTTGACAAAAGAAAAATAGGCTTTAATGAAGAGTATCTTCTCCCATTCGTCTTGAAATTTGTATTCGTGAGATAATTTACTTAATTTTTAATAAGTCACACTATTATAAGATAGCCTTATAAGTTCCTGTTAACATCTGCCAGGAACATTTTAGGCCTTTGCGTGTGCCTATTTTTATAAAATCTTAAAATAACTGCAGGGGAAGTGTTTTAGTCATACAATCTGAAATGGGATTTTGTTTAAATAGACTTTCATTGGTAAATCAGGATAAAAATTATTCAGCTTTAGAAACTAGTTCTGTAGATCTGCTTTTTAGAATTAAAAAAAAAATCAACAGCATATATCTTTGCTACCTTAACTGATGGCAACATTACCATCAATTTAATTTGTATTTGGTGGAGAATCATTAGTCAACTAGATTTTCTAAGCCAATAAAACATCTGACAAAAATGATGGAAGGCACTGAGATATTGTAGGTAATCTTTACTGATGTTTGGACTTCAAAACCACTGTATATTATTTATATCAATCTGAAGGTAAAATTAAATGCTTTATTAATTATTGCACAAACTAAGCCACTGTAAAAAATACTCTAAGATACAGTGGCTTAAACTTTATTATATGAGAGTCTGGAAGTAGGTATTCCAAATCTAATACATCTTCTCCACATCAATAAGCAGCTTCCATTTTGGTGTTTAAGGCTTTACTGTCACTTTCTCCCAGCCAAAGGGGAGGAACAAAGAGTAAAGGGGAGACCAATTCCAATCCTCTAATTGGCAAGACCCAGAAATATCACAGTTCACTTCTGTTCACATTCTTGTAGACACTCCTTCAACATATGGCTACAGCAAACTATTAATGTATCAATGAAGCTGAAGTTACTGTTGTCTTTGTTATTGGTTGGAGCACCTTGTCCTTACAATTGCCAACAAAAACTGCTAAATTGCACCCTGCTATCTCTTTTTCGATATTTCATATTAAAGGCAAAACATATGTTGTTTCAGCAGCTATAATACAATCTTTGTATTTTAATTTTTAAAAACATTTATTCAGTACAGTGATGGAGAACAAAACACTGGGTGGGAGGGAGGAGGGATGGGGAGATGGAGGTTAGAGGATACGAAGTAGCAGATATGTAGGATGAACAATTCTGGATATCTAATGCACAGCATCAGTACTAGAAGTAATAAAATTGAACTGTATATGGGATTCATGCTGAATGAGTAGATTTTAGCTGTTCTTGCAAACAAAACAAAATGTGTAACCTTGTCAGATGATGGTTATGTTACTTTGCTTCCCTGTAGTAATCTTTTTACTATCTATGTGTATCATAGAGCGTCATGTTGTATACCTAAATATAAACAATGAAATTTATTTTAAAAGCATTCGTGTACCTTAATACAATTTGTAGAGCATTTTGGCGTGTATTCCTATACGCTAACCTCCGTAACTTTCTTTGACATTGTGCAATACATATTAAGGTAGAAAGGGTTATTCCAATCATGAACTTGGCATCACAGATGAAATATATTGATGAAATGTGAATGCATATAATAATAGAATTAATATGATATGTTTTATAACTTTTTGATAT